GGCTGAAGCTGTAACGGTTTGACTTGGGGACGGAGTGAAGCACCACAGGGAGTCGGCGTATTTCCCCTTATATTTTTCTCACCTGGAAAAAAAGGAAACTCCAGCTCCCGTAGAATTGGTACAACTGTTGGCATGACGTTCTTTTTTAACGCATTCAAGTCTAGTTATACTTCTAAAAAGCATTTCTTTATTGTTTTAGCTTTCGGCAGCGTTCCCTAATCTCTCCCCCGCACACACCAGCTTGGGAAGCCGTAGGAAGTGGTCCGCACAGCTTTTTTTAATGGTCCAGCTGCAGTTTGTGATAATAACATGTGGGAGCCCGCAGAAATTTGGGGGATTGACAGTAGTGTCTTGCTTGAAACTGGAGGGCTTGCCGATGTGATACAGCTTTAGGGACGTTGCCCTGATGGCCTGGGGTGACTGTAGCACTCCTTGCCTCCTGGGACAGTGCTTTTTCCTTAATGTTTGTAACATTTTTGAGGAAACTTTATTTAACAAAGTGTGTATCTCTTTAAATTTTAACCAAAGTCATTCTTCCCACTTATCTCCCCCCATTTACTAATATTCTTTGCTTGCAAGAAAAGATATGAGGTGCACACAATGAGGAAATGCTAGCTGGAAGTGAAGTTACATGATCAAAAGTCATAATTCATTATGATAGAGATTTAGAGAACATTTAAGTGCAGTAGGACTCTGCTGTTTGACCTTGTAATAAATTTCCAAGACCAAACTGAGAGTGGATTTTCATGATTCAAAGTGTATTGAACATAGTGTGCTAGCAGAATGATATCGCTAATGTCATATCTACAGGCAACTATGGGAGTTACGCTTCTGCTAGTGAGGCCTTCCTTTTTGGCTTGGAAATATGTCTACAGCAGGGATTCAGAAGCTGGGTTAGCCCACACATCAGCTGATCAGATGAAGTGCAGGAGCTCTGAGTACCAGCAGAAACACCCGTGAGTACCAATCGATTGCAACGGTGGCAGCCGTGCCTGCCACAGCCAGGGACCCAGCCTTCCCCCCTCATCCACCCCCTGCTCCTCATCATGTGGGCAGCGGTACCTGCTGTAACGCTCAGGTCAGGAGTAACGCCGCAGGTCACGTACCAGTGATGGGTATGCCATTGCTGGGAAATGTGTGTCCTATGGGATTCATAATCGGCAGGTAGTGTGTGTCTCCCTGTAGCTGCAATTAACCAGCATATGTGGCTTTCCTCTGCCTAGATACTAACTTTAGGCATTGTCCTTCCTAGATGCTTTTAATGCTGTTGAGCAGTTGGTAGTGGCTCCCACACCTAATTGGATTATAATATTATTGAGCTGTGTGTTCTCCATTTTTAAATATTTCTGTGGCTGTCTTAAAATGGAAAAAATACGATTTTTTTTTTTTTAATAAGGAATTCTGACTTTTTAAATGAAAAATCATTTTCTCTGTGGAAATCATTGAAGTCATCAGCGATGTTTTAGTGGATTGTTACTTCAAGGTCTTTAAGCACCTGAAGATGCGTGTGTGTATTTCACTGGACTTGCAAAAGTGCCTGACTGTCACCGATTTATTTCTTTTTGATGAGTATCTGTTACATGAAATGTGGATACCTCTGAAAACCGTCTTTCTAATGTCTCTGTTCCTTATGCCCTGCATCTCTGGGTTTTATTAACCTGTTCTGAAATGGCTTCAGCTGTTTCTGGCTTCCACTGGTGGGAAATGCTGTTTGCCCACTAGATGGCATTCTGAAATCTGTACCGAGGATGGTACTCCAACAGGAGTGGAGATCAGTCTTGGTTTCTTTGTATAACGCGTTAAAACTAAATGCGTAGTAGGGTAACATCACTATTTGATCGATGTTACCAATCATAAGAATTTTGTTATTAAAGAACATTGTTAGAGTTGTATAAAGTAGTTGGAAACCATGGAAAAGATTAAGTTAATGTAATCATTAACTCTGTTCTTGCACAGATTTCTTCCTTCTGATCATCTGGGTAAATTTGTTGTGCGTTGTGGTGGAATGTAATTAAGTCTAACTTTTTGTTCGTGTTTTGGGTTTACATGGGAAGGATGCTGTCGTTTTGGAACAAAATCTGCCTGGGGACCATCTGTGTCTCCATGAAGATGAAGTATGACATTGGTTTAGGCAGTGAAGTAATGAAAGGTGTTCTTGAAAAAACAAATGAGCACTTTGCTTTTCTAAAAATCCTGACACTGGCAAATTGTAGCTTTAAGCAGAACACTGCATACAACGAAACTGTCACTGAAGCTTCATATTCACTTTAAGTATGTCATAGTTGCTTCCCCAAAAGTGAATTGGGCCACCAATTTCTGTCAAAACAATTCAAGTTTTTGTTAAGTGCCTAAATCTGCATTGTGCTGACCGCATCTTGTCTGAATCCTCATTCAGAAGCTGTTGGGAACAAAATCAGAGGAACAATGGCTCCGTGACCCAAAAGCGAAAGTTTTCCTGATAATAGAAATATTAATGCTGTTACCTTTGTAATTTACGAAGCATGTTTCTTACCAAATTTCTTTCTAAAACACAGAAGCAGTGATAAATATTCTGGAAATACACAGATTATCTTTACTGCTCTCGCTTTTTCTCTAAATCTCTAAGCTGGACCAAGCTGAAAATTTTAAATGAGGGCAGTGGTATTTCCCAGCAGGATTTGTTGTCTATTATATTGTTGTCACTTACCTGTGTGAAGTATAGACTCCAGAACACGCTTGTGTCAGATTGGAAGGTAGAATCTCCAAGGCAGGTGAATCACAGTAAATAAGTCTGCTCTTTAGCAAAGTTTTATTTTTCATCTTCTGTGCTAATATGAATCTTAATGTCCCAAGGTCTAAGAATGGTTTTCATTAATATGACTGTCTTACAAAAAAAATCCCAAAAAACCTCTAATGAGTCCGTAACTTCTTACTAGCATTTTTTCAGTTGGTTAATTTGTGTCATGTCTTCCTTTAGGTATCAAAATCCTAAAAGAATCCCTAATGTTCAGAAGGGGAAAATCCTGTAAGACAGCACAGACAGGGGGCAACCTCAGGTAGGTCAAGAACAGAACCAGAGAGCTGTTGTGGTGGCTCTTTCAGTCACTGTAACAGCACCAGGAATAGGTGCCCTAGGACTGAAGAGCTACGAGTCCTTGTAGCTCCAGTAGCAAAAAGCAATACAGTGATAAGGAGTTGTTCTGGCCTGGTAACGGTTCCTTTTCTCCCGTGTGTCTCCAACAGGTCAGTGCAGGAATACCTAGGATGTAACTGATCAGTCTGGACTGCGTGTGGGGTGGGAGGAGTTAGGCATTCCTAAGGTAGATGCCAGAGATAATGTAGCTGTACTTATGTAGCCAACAGTCTTGAACATCTTGATTATTATTGGTCATTGGTTAGTAACTTTCTGAACATTTGTTTATTTCTCTCTCTCCCTCTTTTTATTTATGCATTCCATTGAATTAATATCTTACAGAATCTTGTGTAGCAGTTCTTTCAAACTACATTTGCTGTGTTTCCTCATGTTGCGTACAGTGACCTTTCTGTCAGATTCTGATTAGACTTGCCCAGCTATGTCTGCCTATACCCTTGGGAACGCACAGAGATTGTTTCTGCGAGTAAGACTTCTCAACAGTATTGAAAATTCTGTATTGCTTTGAGCTACCGTTCTTTCTTGGTGTAGCTCTGCTGAAAAGATTACAAGCTCTTACAGCTTGCTGGTTTATACAGTCCTTCTAATCTAGTTCAAAAGCTCTTGATAACTGGTTTTTGGCTTGCAAAACCTGTGGAAAAAACTCTCTTGAGATTAATACATGGTGTGTGAACAGACCAAATAGGACCATTTTTGCTGTCATCTAGTGTTAATATTAGGACATTCCATATTTCTTATGGCTAAGTGAATTGCTCTGTCGTTAGTTACCATGGTAGCTGATACCTTGTTTAACAGAAGAATTCTTAAAAACCTTCAGACAGAAATGTGTCTTTTTCAGGATAGTGATCACTATCGCATTCCAACAGTAACAGTTGTATCAAAAAGAAATACTGACTGGCAAGAATCCTCTCCGAGTCCCACAGAAAATAATATTTGTGATTAAAATACATGTCACCCCAGTGGTGATTATAGTTGATCTCTGTGGTGGTGTACAATTCATGTACGTAAAAGTAACATAGAACATTGTGTGCTGTGTGGAATTACGGTGCACACCCTTAATATCTCTATAACAAAACAAATGTTCTCAACATGGACTTTGATACACCCTCTCTGTTCTTTGCTTTTATAACATTAGTTTGTCAGAGTAAATCTTCAGAGATATATTTAAGAGAGAACCTGATATTTTAAAATTGTTTATTTCAGCCGGTTCTAGAATGTAAGACAGCAATGAGTCCAACTGTCTTTCAGAAAAGGAGACTCATTTCTTTGATGTTGTGTCCAGATGCTTGCACGTGTTTTTTTCAGTAGTACCAGTGGTGTATATTCTGTTATACTTGGGGGTGTGTATGTTTTCTTCTTTTTAAGTTAGTCTGAAAAGGATATTGTGCCTTCGGCCTTGTGTCAGTGTTTACCCTGGATTTGAGGTTTTACTGTGGAGTTGAAGCATCTGTGCAGTCTCTTACATCTTTTTCAGTTCATTATCTATACGCTAGTACTATATGGATTTTAGTTTAAATCATTCCACAGCCAGAGGAATGATCCCACTCGTATGAAAATACCTTTTTATTTTCCATATGCAACTACATTGTGAACCTACATCCAAAGCTAAAGCATAAACTTGGCTGACCTTGCACCCATTAATTTTGCTGTCTACTTACCAGCCATTCTGGTTTTGTTTGCTTCTCTGAAAGGGTTTTTGTTAAGCACAGAAACAATATCTATTATTTGCTTTCAGTAACCATTTCACTGCCAAGTCCTCTGGGGGTGATCACTTCCTTTTGCCCTTATTTAATTGTTCTAGCTGAACCATTTCACTTCACATATGTGGAAGACCTCTGTCTACTCTGTTGTTTAACATAAGTAATTCACTGAAATTGAGAACATTTCCTAGTAGTGTAGATACAGCCTAAAAAGTTCATTACTGAGACTTAATCATGCAGCTGTCTATTGCAATTCTCAGGGGGAAATTGTGTATTCTCCTCATTCTGGCTAGAAGAAATCTGG